ACTTTGATTAAAATACATTTATTTATCAATATTACTCGACATGTGTATTATTTAGAAACAAGTTTTCAGTGACTTTGTATCAGTTTAGCACTTATTTTACACACTTATCGTTAGTATTTGAATCATTGGCCAAAATATAAAAATTATTTCTAATCTCAAACCAATATTAATGTTGACTTTACAAAAGTATCTTAAGATCCAGTTGAGTGATGTCAGGTATAGGGAACCGGTGTTTGTGGCATTGCCATACCGGCGCCCATATCTGGTGTCAGACCTGAAAAAATATCTCCAATCAAACCATTGGTTTTTTGATGAGTTCGAGAAACTACACCTAAAACGTGTCGACCCCGTGGATAATGTAAGCCAGGTGTATTTGTTACCGGCTAATGTGGATGTGACACAACTATTGGACACCGATGTCATCGAAATCATCGCCAAAACTGATACTGAAATGAAGTATTTATCAAAATTGAGGTATAGTTTGAAATGTGTTTAAAAGTAATGTTTATTTAAAATTTGTGTTTTGTTTGGTTTCGTAGACCTCATGAGGAATTGGATCAAACGTCGAGACAATTGTCGGCTGAAGACAATAGTTTGAAACAAGAGTTGATTTCATTGAAGGCTTCAAACGAGACAATGATTTGTGAGAACAAAGAGTTGAGTCAATCGATGGTGTCTTTGAAGGAAACAAATGAGAGAATCGAAAGTCAGTTCAAAGTATTCACACAACAGATCATGGCTTTCGAGACGAGGTTTGGTTCAGATTTTAGTTAAATATTAAAAATTATTTATAGATTTTTATTTATGACATAAACAGTTGTTCAGAGACTGACTATACATCTGGTGGGAAGGGATCACAGAATCCATTGAATACCACTTCTGGTGATAAGAAAGCGATCGAAATGTTTAATGAGATCTTAAAACACATCCAAAAGACAAATGATTTGATGAATGGTATGAATGGAGTGAAGGATAAGGAGTTGACAACACTCGAGGACATCCAACGGGTGATTGACAACACAGACACTGAATCCACGGCTAGTGTCCAGTCAACTGACGACTCATTGAATACTGTAATCGAGAAAAACATGGAAAACATGAATAGTTTGCTAACAAATGATAGTTTAATGCATGAAATATGCGCTCAAATATATGACACCGAAGACATTGGATCCATGGCTAGTGTTGAGACAATTATTGATTGTGACAATCAATTCAAAGAGTGGTTTAGTTTTGGTGATAATATCTTTGGTCAAAATAATGGCAATTGTGTGGACTCTGAGGGTTTGGCCAACACTTCAAGGTATGCATCGATTGTCTCATTAATGTTACCATTCATTCATTCATTACTTTATGACTTATTAATAGGTCTTCACGTATGGATGGCATACCTCCCGAGTCAATGACAGACAATATATCATGTTTTGCGCCACAAATAAGTGATGTCTTGAACCCATTGTCTGGACTGAGGTTTGTGTGAATATGTAGTCAATAATTGGTACGAATTTAATGACAGAATTTGTTTCATTATATAAATAGCTATTCCCAAGAGATGTATGAAATGTTGAACCAATACCCGGATGATAAATGCTTTGACAGCTTTTTCTAACTCATAATTTTTGCTTGTTAATTAAATATTAAGTAATAATTAAATTTATCTCATTTTATATTCGTGTTTATTTTCGCAAGTGAATTAAAATACAAATAATTATAAACTTGCAAATCATTTAAAAAAATACAAAAATTACCAACTATAATTGAATACTTTAATTTGTTTAAAAAGTTTGTGAACTTTTAATTATTGATAATTTTGCTGGAAATATGTATGCGTTTGATATTTATTAAGATTCCCGTTTGCAATGAATTTTTGCCACAATTATGTTCATCGCATTTCATTCAAATGAACAGTACGTTTGTGTCGATGTAAATGAGATAATTGTTTAAATCTTAGGTCGCAGTCATTGAAATTACATATAAATGGCTTTTCATCCGAATGTATGGCCTGTTTGTGTTGAATTAAATTGTATTTATGAGCGAATCTTTTGTTACAATTTTCTTCATTACATTTGAATTTCTTTTCATTCAAATGAACACTACTTTTGTGTCGAAATAAATGCTGTTTTCTTGTAAACTGTTCGCGACATTCACTCCAATCGCACACAAATTTCTTTGTTAAATGAATTTCGTTAATGTGTTGAAATAAATTTTGTTTGCTTTTATAGGATTTATTGCAATTGTTAAAGTCACATTTAAATTGTTTAGTATTTGAATGAATTAATTGATGTTTATTTATGTTACTTTTCTTTTTGGTCTTATACTGACATTTAGGCCAAAAACAGTGGAAATAGGGATAAGTGTTGAGTGTATTAATGGTGTTGTGATTGGAAAGCATTTTATCACTTATTTTACATGAATTCAAATCAATTGAATTGCAATTCATTGACAAATTCACTGCATTTTCGCATTCAATCCCTTCACACAAAACACTTGCATTTTGTGACAAAAAACACTGCATTTTGTCTAAACTTTGACACAAATCACGAAAATCACACAAATTTCTAAATTCATACCTTATTTTACTCTCATCTTCACATAACTTATTAAAACACATTTTTAATTATAAAAATTATATATCTATTTATATATATTATCAAATAATGTTGCTAATATTTTTTGAAATATCTATTAAATATAAAATGAGTGCCAAATGAAATATTTGAAAATACTGTCTATTAGGTTCCCGGTAATCCTTTATACTAATTCTCCAATCGAAGTCATTTACTGTATTTTCAGCACGTATTTCCGGAAAGGGATTATAAAATATTATGATAAACATGTGGTTAATCTAGGAAAATATTTTACAGTACATGATCTTTTATGTTTAAAGCAATATCATAACTTATTTTAAACATTTTAAGCAATATTTTATTATTATAGACTATAATTTATACTCGTTATAATTATTTAATAATATCCAACATATTTGAAATATTTTAATATGAGTTCATATTTTGAGCAAATATTCTGTGAAATGAAGTTTGAATTAAATAAATTAAATGATTTGAAGAGTTTGTGTCAAAGTTTAGACAAAATGCAGTGTTTTTTGTCACAAAATGCAAGTGTTTTGTGTGAAGGGATTGAATGCGAAAATGCAGTGAATTTGTCAATGAATTGCAATTCAATTGATTTGAATTCATGTAAAATAAGTGATAAAATGCTTTCCAATCACAACACCATTAATACACTCAACACTTATCACTATTTCCACTGTTTTTGGCCTAAATGTCACTTCAAAACTCATAATAAATGGTATTTAAAGACACATCAATTATTTCACTTGAATAAGAAACAATATAAGTGTACGTTTATTAATTGCAATCAAGCCTATTTTACAAAACCAGACTTACATCGACACAAAAATAGTGTTCATTTAAACGTGAAATTTGTGTGCGATTGGAGTGAATGTTACAAAAAGTTTACTGATAAACGCTATTTAATTCAACACAAACGTTGTGTTCATTTGAATGAAAAGCAATTCAAATGTAATGAAGAAAATTGTGGCAAAAGATTGGCTCAAAAATGCAATCTAAAAGCACACAAACGCCGACATTCGGGTGAAAAGCCATTTGTTTGTCATTTCAATGACTGCGACCTAAGATTTAAACAATTATCTCATTTACATCGACACAAACGTACTGTTCATTTGAATGAAATGTGATGAACATAATTGTGGCAAAAATTAATTGCAAACGGGAATCTTAATGAATACAAACGCATACATATTTTCAGCAAAATTATCAACAATTAAAAACTCACAAACATTTTAAACAAACTAAAGTATTCAATTAAAGTTGTTAATTTTTGTATTTTTTGCATGAATTGCAACTTTATAATTATTTGTATTTTAATTCACTCGGGAAAATAAACACGAATATAAAATGAGATAAATTTAATTATTACTCAATATTTAATTAACAAGCAAAAATTAAAATGAAATTATGTTTATATCAATTCATGGCATACATGACCGCATAGTAATTCATTGAATCGTGTTTTGTGTTTTTTAAAATTTGCTAAAACGTGGCAATAGTTGATGGTAAAAGTTGCATTAATATTAAATGTTTGTTTGGATTAAAAATATGTAAATATATTTGATAATTCAATAAATTGTTTTGTTGTATTTATTGTATTTATTATTTTTAATATAAATTAATGCGTTATTTTACATATTGATAGTGATTATAACATGTGTTTTTATTATAATTTTCTAGTATTTGAAAAAACAAATAAAATGATAAAATAGTTTTGTTTTGTTGTTAAATAGCAAATGGAAAGTTATGTTAAAATAGGCCGACCCTTGAGTTCATAAAAATTAAATCTCATATAAATAGTCATTTAAAAGTAAAGCGATTCAAATGTAATGAACGTACTTGTGGCAAAATGTACTCGCTACAAAACAATCTTAATCGACACAAACGCCTACATTCAGGCGAAAAGCCATTTGTTTGTCATATCAATGATTGTCACAAAAGTTTTACGAAAAATTAACAAAAGTCTTGCGAAATGTTAATTTCATTTGGCATAAGAAAAATGTTCATTAAGCCAACTAAACTTAACAGGATAAAATAATTGACTCAAAGTTAATATTCTGCAAAATGCTACTCGCTCACAAATATCCTATTAGTTTAATGTTAAAAATAATTATTGTTAATAATGTTTAGTTGAATGTAAATCGGATTTATATTTATATTTAATTAATTTATAATTCATTAGTAATTCTACATTAAATGAACTTGTCAATATGTTACGAGCAATTATAATAATAAAATCTTAATTTATTTTTCAAAACTTATTTTACAAAAAGAGTTGATTCTTGTCGTGTGTTAATTGATCCGTGAATTGAGTTAACATTTCATCCATTACTTGAGTCCTTAGAGAAATGCTTTTTATATAACGAGACAAATCATGAAATCAATTGAAGACTATATTTATGATAGGATTCACACAAACCTCAGTCCAGACAATGATTTCCATATTTCACACATTTGTGTCAACTTTTGGCTATACTTTCGCGCAAACCATAGGATTTTATCAGCGTTTGACTCCAGAGGTATGTCTTCCATACTCGCAGACCTGTTTAGTAATCATTACATAAATTATTGAATGAATGAATTGATGGTAACATTAATGAGACAATCGATGCATACATTGATGTGTTGCCCACAGACTCAGAGTTCATACAATCGCCTCGCATTTGACCACAAGTTTTATCATTAATAGTCTGAACACTAGCCGTGGATTCAGTGTCCTTGTTGTCGATCACATGTCTGTTCCCCTCGAGTGCTGTCAATACATTTAAATGACTTTCGATTTTGACATTTGTTTCCTTCAAAAACACAAACTCTTTCGATGCCTTCAATGAAACCAACTCTTCATTTATGTCTTTCAACGCATCCCTCAATGCCTTCACTTCCGTCTCAATCATACCTTTCGATGCCTTCAAAGCCATCAACTCTTCCCTCAAATCCTTATTTTTTGTCGACATTTGTGTCAACGTTTGGGACAACTCTTCATCGCATCTATCAATACAAACACATATAATAAACGCATACTTTGTGAACACAATTCAATATATACTCAGGTTTTGGCAAACAGTCTCTTTCAGTATCTCTTTTGGCCATTATATCTATGATGTCGTAAGGCGTGATGTTTGATAAATCAAATGTATCCGGCACTATTGTCACCTCATCTAATGATATAAACCCGTTTGAATGTTGACGTACCAGGCGCATTGTCACTTGTTTGTCACAAAGCCATTGTTTGGACTGTAGATCTTTTATTAGGTCTTTCGCATAATATGGTTGCTGGCGATTAACCTTAAATATAATAGCGTTATAATAACCTAGTTCATTTAAGCGTATTTTTATTTGAAAGTTTTTAGTAGTCATTATTATGGATTGTTGTGATAAATGTGTTCAATATTAATTTGCACCGTTTTTAACGATAAATATGTTTTATAAACAAATATACTTGTATATAATATTAAATTAGTATTAACATCCCGTATACTACCATAATTGTGAAACTATAGGTACAATCAAATGGTTACTAATGGTTTCAATCTGTAATAAATACAGTATATGTATATATATTTGTGTTCATATTTAAATACAGGTCTACCATAGATGGCATACCTCCGAAGCCAATGGCAGATAATATATCTTGTTTTGCGCCACAAATAAGTGATGTTTTGACACATGATTGTGATTGTTTGGATGAATCACGTAAACAATCAATGAAATAACAATATGTAACATAGAAAACAAATAATAATCACAATTGTTTAGTTCAAACAAAAATTCACAACAATGTTATAGTCTACAATTTTGTTTATACTAATTAATATCTATAAATAAAAACTTTATACAAATGAATGTATGCAAATAAGTTCATAATAAACATAATTTTATTAATTTACGAGCAAATTATGGTGTATATTGTGATCCCTGTCCCCCTGTTTGTCTCCTCTAGACTTGAGATCAAATAACTCCCTCAACAGCCGGAAGGGAACGACTTCG